GACAGGTAAGGGCTCGCAAGGTCAAATCTTCTTTTATCTGTTTTCCCTACGAGCTTGCCGCATGGAGAGACCTAGTCTTTACCCATGCTCAAGGTCAGCAGTGGTAAGGCGCTTTATGGGCACCAAGGATCCGTTATGCTTGGGATAGAAATAACAAGATTTATCCCCGGCCTTGACCTTGATTGGTTTGAGGCTCGGATAGGTCCTGCTCTACCCTCGTCTGATGACCTTTCTGTCCGTGGCGTCTCAGGACATCTGGGTTGTTCGATAGAAGGCGCGGGGAAGAGGCGCTTTTTAGCCATAAGTAACTATAGAAACCAAAGGCTTCTGCGGCCAGTCCACGATTGGTTTGCGTCTGTCCTTAGGATAATTCCACAGGATGGGACTTTTAATCAAACACGCCCTCTTATTTAGTTGGCAAGAACCATTGCTACTCATATGATTTGACCGCGGCTACTGATAGGTTGCCGTTGGTGTATCTCTTTGAGCTGGTAGCGGTTCTTTTCGATAGGTCCTTTGCCTCAAGTGTAGTTAATTCAACACTTGCTTACAATACGTTCCTGGGTAAGGAGAAAGTGGTCTCAGGTCGCATTTGTAGCAGGGCCTTTGACTGCTGCCATATCCTTCTTTAATGGAGGATAGGATCTTCATCCCGACCACCCGAGCCTTCTTTCTCTTATTTGAGGTGTTCCAATGCCACTTTGATCGGTCTTTTGCGTCCAGCGTAGTGAACTCTGCCCTTGCATGTAACATCTTTGAAGTTCACTTTGTAAAAAGGAAGAGAACTCCTCAGTGTGTTTCGTTGCAGGACAGCCTCTTGGCTACTATGGGTCTTGGCCTCTCTTTGCCTTTTCGCACCACTTAGTGGTGTGGCTGGCAAAGAGTAAGGTATATCCTGGTTGGAGATTTTCCGATTATGGAGTGCTTGGCGATGATGTGGTTATTTCGGACCCACACGTTGCACCAATCTATGCGGACTATATTCGTCGACTAGGGGTCTAGATCTCACAATCGAAATCCCCGGTCTCTGATACAGGCTGTTTAGAGTTTGCTAAACGCTTTTGGGTTAATAAAGGTACTCGTGACTTGTCACCCGTATCTTTACGGTGCCTTCTGAACTACTTTCATCCGTACGGGTTGATAGCGATTCACCACCGTTATGGTGTGCGTCGTTGGTAGGTTCATTGGTCTCTTACAATATTTGAACTCCGACGATACGATTTCTCTTTTTCTTATTAATTGGTAACTTTCTTAGTTGAAGGCGTGAAGTGCCCCATTG